CAAGACCGAAAAATCTTTCGGCGCGCAACAATTAAGAAGAGGGGACATTTAAAAATCAGATTATTTGGGGGGACTATATATAATTAGAACGTTATTTCTCACTTTGGATAAATATTGCGAAGAATATTACTACGTCGACCCGCCATCAGAGGTCTATCGATATTCGCAAATTCTCGCAAGTGCTGAGACACGCGTATATCTCTTTATATAGAATCTCGATTTAATAACTTACACCGGCGTCTAAGGTAGGCTTCCACTACAATACCTTACTGATGAGTCCAGTAGTGGAAGCCGGGACGAAACGCCAAACATTACGTGATATTCTTCGCAATATAGAATATTAGAATATATTATCAGATTTAGATTGACTCTTATTCGCCATTCTCAACTTATTAATTATTGTAATACATAATATAATTTGCAAAATATGATATATCTGAAATATAATATTATACTACCGTTTAAAAGTTTATATAAGAAAAATTATAATTTTATAATTACAATTAATCGATTATACTAAACAATAACAAAAATTATTTTAATCTAGCATGTTTAGCATGTCGAGAATAAAAGGTTCGTTCAAATTTTGGTCGATACGACAAATCTTAAAACAAACACCATACTCATATAGTATTACAAATGAATTTATCACTTGGATAACTTACAAATATTATCCTACCGTATTCTGGGAACAAGAAACCTCTTATGAAGGAAAATTGTTTCAAGATAATAGAAGTTCCCACTATGGAACATGGTGGATACATGTAGCTGTAGTTCCACAATCATTCTATAATGTTTTCATGATAAAGTGGCTAAAATTATATAACTCGAGTTTAACTGTTAGTGCTCTTAATATGGATTGGTCGATAATCAGTTTCGAGCAAGCTGGTAAATATGCACTATAATATTAATAATATATATTTAATGATATATTTTTAAATTTTTTGGATCTTGAGTACAACTTGTTTCTTTTATGATCGTATTCTTTGTTCATGAATAATTAAGATATTTTGGATATTTTATATAAAGTACGTTAGAACTTACAAGGGAAATTAATAAAGTATAACGAATAAGTAGTAATTAATGGAGGCAATGAATATTTATTTAAGAGAACGTATGTGAACGCATCATACACAAAAAAATTTAAAAATAAAAAAGTTTTTCCCTTAAAATATTTCCACATATTTATAAAATAATTTAATATATTTATATGTAACAGATCAGTAAAATATTTTTATTGCTAAATAGGATACTATCGCGCTAATTATAATCATACAACTGTGTCCAACATTTCAAAACAACTAAATACTGAATTTCAATCGATTATACACAATATTTCACGATTCAAAGTCGATCACGTTATCAATCGTGCTAAGTTCATTGACGACGCTTTTCATTTGATGATGGAAGGTCAATACGTCCCACATATGTTCTGGAATCTCACGAGATATTTAACACATGTGACAGATTATGTAGCATGGTATCCAATGATTAAAATATTCCAATATGTATCTACACTGATTCCATTTTCAGTCGACGAAGTTAAGTATATCGATATTAAGGTAATGACCAATGTAATAGATATCATTTAACGAACGCATGGTTTTTATGTTTTCTGCTGTTAGATAATTTTAAACTTAATATATTTACAAGTGTAAAGATTTAGTTACGGTTCTTTATTACATCATTACAAAATAAAGTGAAATAAAAAAAAATGTGAAAAAGATCTTAATTTCAAAGAAATATTTTTTTCTTATACTAAAAAAATTATATTTATTTAAAATTTTTAAAGTAAAAAAATAGTTAAATATTAGAGATTTTTATTAAAAAAAGAATTTTATTATATATGTAAAGAAAATTTTTTTTCGGAATTAAGATAATTTTTTCTCTGTGTGTGTATATCGTCCATACGCATGTTACAATATTTACATGAGTAATGGTTAATAATTAATTAACTAATGAGTGATTCTTTTTTCAAACTCATTTTATATAGCTTATGTTAAATCATAAAGATTGTAGAAGTATGAGTACTTTTTAGAATATATAATGACTATTTGTGCTGTCTGTAAGATCAGAAATGGTGACCTATTATTATAAATAAATAAAAATTATGACATTTAGGAAAAATGTAAAGAATTAGTGCATATACCGATGATAAAATTAGGATTTAATGAACGTCTGATGGAAGATGATTTCTATAAAAGCTTGAGACAGGAAATCGTGAAATGGGCATGTGTGTTCCAAAACCATATTTGTTGGCAAAAGGCCTATAATAAATTGAAATACCATATATCTGATCCTAAAAATCACCAGTAATTTTTTTTTTCAAGGATAATTTTTTCATAATTACAACTTTTACGCTTCAAATATTTTAACAAAATTAATATTATAAAATTTAACAAATACTGTTTTTAATGTGTTTTTATTCGCTTTTTGGAATACTAGATTTAGGCCAGGCTGGAAGCGTTGGACATATTGTTCAGGTTTATCTATTGGTCATAAATATCTGTGGTTCGATTTAATAAAGATATGGTTCGAAAAACCTCAACCAGGAAACAATGTTTTGTTACCTTACTTAATTTGTTCTGGCTTAAATGAAAATAGTAGTTCTTCATTTTTGGAACAGTACAGAGAGAAAGGACATGAAATTGAGTCTTACAATAAGACATATTTACACATTTTTCATTCAATAATTAAAAATATTCCTGACAATCATGACATGTTTCTACAAATATATGATCAACTTAATGATTTAAGACCTAAGTACGGACATTTTTTTAATAAATATATACTATATTTAAAAATATTCAGTTATAAAATAAAATTATTATTGTATAAATTACAGGGAAATGAATCTATTAACAGCACTAGGCAATTTTGTTAATCATGTGTATTCTGAAGTTAGACTTAGAGAAGTAAGCAAAATGAATCAAAATTTTATACTTACTTATTGAATGTCTATTAAAAAGTTTATTAATAATTAGAGTGTATATAACATATACAATACGTATGTATATGTTTACAAACTTTATTTTTTCTTTTTAACGATTACGGTAAATTCTAGTACGATAATATGAAATTTTAGAGAAATGTTCAGAATAAGCTATTTATTATAATAAATGTAAACATTAAAACATTTTTTGTTTTAGATTTCCTTGTATCTAAAGGTAGATAAACTCAATTTTAATTTAACTGAAGTAGAAATTTCAAAAATTGAATACAAAATACAAAAACGAATTTCAGAAATTCATGGACATATAAACTATTTTAGGTTTTTAAGTTTATAAATATTGATTAATTTAATGTTAATAGCTATTAAGTTAATGCAAACCAATAATGTCGGATTATTACTTTTCTTGTTTTGGTTCAACTGATGAACAACAATTTGTTCTTCAAGAACTGTTGGTTGATTAATTTCTGTGTAATTTTTGGAGTTGCCCCCCTTTAATGGATTCTATTCAATAATTTCCTTCAAGATCTTATTGACTACAGGCCATTCCTGATTTTCTTTTATTTTCAATTTTACTTTCAAGATTTTTGTTCCTCAATATTCTTATCTTCATTTTCATCAGCATCGAAATTTTTGAATATTTTGTTGTACTGACTGCTTATTTGTAGTTTCTTGGCGAAATGGTTTATTAATTTTTCAACTTGATTCCGTTGTTTTGTTCCTTAGTTTGAACTGGTAGAAAAAATTACTGGAAAATACTTTTTTTCCATATCACGCGGAACAAGATTTTACGAAAAAATACATAAAACTGATGTAAGGTCTTTGATATTCTCTATTTTTCATAGATATTTATAGTGAAACACGGAGTGACGTTTGCTTGTGTTAGAAGTTCTTAATTTTTTCGTAGGTACGTATAGTGAGATATAAAATGGCGTTGTTTAGGATTGGAAGATTTCTTAGTTTTTTGAAATAAATAACACCGCTTCACATTTCACTACAAATATCTAAAAAAACTATGAATTTTTAAGGTCTCTCTTATCTCAATCTATGTAGTTTTTTGTAAAAATTTTTGCGCTGGGCTTATTTAATAGTAATGAAGATAATTATGTTCGTTCGCGTTGCATAAAATCGCTAAAATGTTTTCATTTAAAGCAAGGTAAGAATATATATAATCGTTGCAAAAAGCGAGAATAAAGATGATAAGTATAAAGAGTAAGCAACGCGAACAGATCTATTGATCACAACGATAGTACTAGAAACATGATAACTAGCATAATTAACAGAACAAAATCTACGCTTGAAAATACAATATAAACTTAAGTGTATTTTATCGTTGAATAAAGGATAAAAATTGTAAGCTCTAATAAATGACATTATTTTTGCATCATCTTATGCGTATAAGTTTTTCTGTATACTTTCGGCTCAAATTAATTTAGAACTACATAAAATAGTGTTACGTATCATTTCCAATTTTGTATATTCTGTTATATTAATTTTGTTCGTTTTTATAATTTTTATTGAGATGTTTTACATATATTGTGTTCATTCCTTTTTTAATTATTTCTGTAATTATTTTGTATTTAATCTCTTGCTTTAATTTACATGTTCATTATTTTGTTACTAATAATCTCATTATGTTTTTTTATTATACATACTAATTGTCATTATATTGTATTTTTTTACCATTATAGAGATAAAAAGCTTAAAATAAATAATTTTTAATAATAAACTGTTTATACTATCTTATATATGTATGTGTATATTCTATGTTAGTCTTTCTATTCTCAAAATTTATTTAGAAAGGAAATATTAATCACAAATATTAGGGCAACAACAACAGTTCATTATTTTTATATTATTAAGGTTACGTATTTACAATTACCTTTTGATATATCATGAACACATTCCAAAGAAAATGTCATTTTTCACTTCTGACGTCACTATTTAATATATTACTAAGGTTCATGATACTATTCAAGAGCCTTAATTGATGCTCTAATTTTTTAAGTATTTGTATTTAAACAATTGCATAATTTACATAATTTGTTAATTTGTTTCATTTACTTATGATCTTCCAACTGTTCTTTGAACAATTTTATTTAATATTGTATATACTGAATAAAAATATTTATTTTATATTTACCATTTATATCTTTATATTTTACTGTATTAACATCAAAAATTATTACAATTTATAGTACAATTTTTTCATATGTAAGAGAACTACATATACGATTATTTATTATTATTAATATTATAGTAGTAATATCCACAAAAAATGGAACATATAATCATAATTACTTTACTATGCAATTATAGTCACACCAAACACTTTTTCTAAGTGCGACGACCGAGGATATCGAAGATATGTTAGATTAAGGCAACGAGGTCGCGTGCCACCAGTGGTGGCAGAATGGTTATACGCGGAGATGTTAGAAAATTGTAGCTTTCGACATCCATCAATCAGGGAGCAATGAATAATCATTTTTGGATATCGTAAGACGCTGTTATCCGACGAGATTATTAGCTTCATGACGCGGTATTTCTTTCTTTAATCGGCGAGCGTGAATCGCTGACGTTGCGTCGATATTAATGTATATATCGCGTTGTGAAGATAAAAAAATAAAGAAAGAAACTTTACATTACGAAGTATTAAATTTTTGCAAAAGGATTTTTCATATTTGTCAAATAGAGTTAAAAATAAAATTTTAATAAAACTGGAGCAATATTGCTTTATCACACACTTTTGCGCGTTTCTCTTTTTCATCTGAAATATTTTTCATTTTAAAGAACTTTCTAACTTTAATATAAAGTGCTTGGTAAAAAACGACGAATTATTGCACAAGTCTGTTTTTAATTTACAATGTCTAATATCAGGTTGTATTTTTGAAAACGCATCGCCAAAAAATTGCTGTGTAAAACGTTCGGGAATTGTTTCTTTATATATAATAATTGCTTGTTTCATATAATTACTCTGTTTTTCTCATAACATTCTATCATGCCATCTTGGATAGTTATCTTCGATAGCTTTCTTCTATTCGGTCTAATCTATATTGAAAGAAAAGCGTTTGATATTTACAGCTATAATTATACAATAAAATAATATGGGTAGAAGCTCCATTTCTATATTATAATGTTAAAAATAATTTAATTTATAGTCATAAAAAAAAAATATATAACTGATATCAAAAATAACTACAAATTGTAATTAAAATATAATAATTGTAACCATTCTTTTTCCTCAGTATAAACAGGAAAAAAAATTAAATTTTTTTAAATAAATATATATATATAATATTTGTTATTTGAATAGTTCTCAGTAAATATTTACTAAATGTAAACATATATTTATTTGTGTGTGATACAAAAAACCATTAATTTGATAAATCATTTTTTCATTGAGTTTATTTAGTACTATTCAAAAAACATTAAGATTCCGTCAATATTCTTATTGTATAAAATTTCCGTTAATAATTAAATAATTAGTCAACATTGAAAATGACCCGATCGGTGTCGAAACGTCTGTTATTTGTTTATTTTTCATTAATTTAAATATATTTTTTTTATTTTCTCTTCTCAATTGTAATATTTTTTTTATTTCGGCTCGTTGTCCGTTAAATTATATTAATATGTATTTATTTATTATTATTGTCGAGTCTTCTCTTAATGTTGTTATTAACATAATAAGATTTAATAAATTTGTTTTCAGTGACCCACAGTTTCCGTAGTAAAACCATGAATGCCAGTTACAGGGATGCAGCATGCGGATGTAGAAAACGGACCGACGGAATGGACACGGCGAGCGACACAGCGAAGGATGGACGATCGTTAATCATATCATCAATAAGTTCGTCGTGACCACCTATTAAATACGGAGGCGTGTAGAATCGGCCAGGGGCTCTCCGTACCGGTTGGGAGCGACATAAATCGCAAATCTCTCGCGATTAGAATCGGACGCCAAGTGTGCTAAGTATCCTAGAATGTCCCTGTACGTCGCCTGCGCCGGAAACATCTTCGGTGTGAGTAGTGTAACGAGCTTCGGGTATTTACCTCTCTCGCGCAGAGAAACTCATGGGACCGATGGCTGCATTCAAATCACGCATGTTAAGGTAGGAAACTTGTATGCAGCAATTAACCCATTTATATCGAACCTAACATGAGGTAAATATTAAGCAACGGGGGAGAGAAACAATTGCCTTGGAATATAGATCCCATGAATGGATTCATCAACTTTCTAAAAACGAGCGTTTCGAACGTTTGGTTATAATTAGAGTCATTTAACGTCACGTAATCACAGTGGATTGTATTTTAATCATTTGAAATCGACTTGTGTGACTCGAAGATAAAATAAAGAAAACGGAACATTTCCGCATATATCTAAACAAGTTACTTAAGTCGAATATCGAATAGGTAAGAGAGATACGCGTAGAGAGTTTAAAAAGACAGAAATGAATAAAGATTATATCATTATTAAGATAATTAACGAATACTTTAATATTGTATAATTTATCGACGATCCGATCTATGATGACCCACTTAGAAATCCGTTTTAAAATTCGCTCAAAAATTATTTGAATCCGTTTAAACACTATTATATATGCACATATTCAATTATGTAGTGTCAGAATAAAATTCTATTTATAATTTATGTGTCATACAATAAATAAATTAATAGAAAAATTAGGACAAGCGCAGGAATAATAATTTTTAATATATAGATAATAATATATTAATTACTAATAATATCATAAGTAAAAAATAATATATATATATCTATTATATGTAATATAAATAAATTCTACATTAATTAACTCTATTATTTTTTTAATCATAAATTTTACCCTAAGGCAAATTCCTGAAGATTGTTTGAAGTAAGCGTCTTAGAATTGCTTTACAAACGCAAGATAAAAACGCAATTACCTAATTATAATAATATGTAAAATTTTTTAATGTTCAACAAAATTTCCTGCGTAGCACGAATTTCAAAATCATATTTTTGTAAATCGAAACTAATATCCAATAACTAAAGATTCTTCAAGATTTCAAAGCTTTCGCTTATACGTTTTAAAATATTACCTTCATAATAACTGTCTCGTAATCATCCTTCACATTCGCACAGTATAAGCAATGATTTCGAAACATCGTCGTCATCGCGAACGCAGTATCTCGTTTAAATTCATTGAGTATAAATAGTAGTTAACACGCTCAAATAGCCCTTCTATTACATAAATCTTACGATCTATATATCGCATAAAGCCATGGATGTCCATGCATAAAGTATACGAAACAACGTTGCGGCAATAACGTTGACGGTACGAACGTGACATATGATTGAAAGGAACGTCACAGGCACGATGAAAACGAAGAAGAACCAATAGCAAACGAGACACGAAAGCAACACCCAATCGCGTTACGTATATCGAAGCGCGTAACCGAACGGCGCGACCAATAGCGCTCGGCTTCGCCTGCGCCTCGCGGCAAACTTCAACTCGCGCCGCGTCTCTGATAAACCGCCATGTTCGTGGAGAAGATAGAGGCGCGAGGTCAGCTTTGGCGGCCCGATTCAAATCGGCCGCCCGCGCGGTGCGGCCAATCGCCGCGCGGCGCCGCGGTGGTTTGCGTCGCGCGTCCGCCAATCGTTCGTGATGCTGCACGCGAGGTTCGTCGCGACATCGCGCTGCGTCATCGAGGCACGGTCGTTCGCGCGGTTCCTTGCGCCGCATGGAACGTCCAGACGTATGGTGGGCGATCGCGCCCTCAACCGCGGTCAGGTATCGCGCGAGGACTTACGCGAGAATTACCTGAGAATGCTCGAGAAGTGCAAGTGTGAGTGGGCAATATTCTGTGGCTACGGCCATGCCAGTGTCGCGTCGATCGCGTTTCACCTGCGTGTCCTTTGCGTGTCTCTGTGTTCGTGTACTTTCGTCTCTTTCGTCACGCGCGAGGGATGCTGCGCATGCGCCCGGCGCGTTCGATATATCGATAGGACACGTGCGCGCGCGCGCGCGCGCGACCTTGACATGGCGCGCATGCCGAGCGAATTATTGGCACGCGGATCGATCATCCTCCCTGCGAGAGAGTGACGTTATGCACCGTTATGCGTCTTCGCTACGGCGAATCCACGAGCGACGGGATCCGATTGAGCGCAAAATTCTAATGAGAGACGCATGCGATTACGTATGCAGCGACGATATACGGCGAATTCGCCACCGAATCGGCCGGTCGCCAAGCATTCGAATACACGTGTCCGAGAACACTTGAATTATAGTGAGATTAGCGCAATTAGCTTTTACCTGTTGTTTACGAGGCATTCCAGAAGATTCAATATTCGTTGACTGCGCAGTTTTACTGGCTTTCTTTTTTTTTAAGCAAGAAATTTGTAAAAGATAAAAATTCATAATACTGTGCGTAGGAATTTAGAAAGAAAAAAAGACTTGTTCTTTTAACTTCACGCGATCTGAAATGCAGATTGTTCCGATTAAAATTATATAAAACCCTGCGTATACAATGGAAAAAATATTAAGCGCGGAAAAATTCAATAGATAAATGTTAGAAATTTAAAAATTCCAGAAATGAATATACTTATATAGAAACACGCGGTAGATACAAATAGAGAGAGGGAAAATGTAAAATAATCTATAATATATGTAACAAGAATGTGTCTTGTATCGTATTCGTATTCATTGTTACGTTTCTAAATTAATTCTCTAATTTTTTAATTTTTAATATTCAATATTTATTTCTGTTTCTAATATTTCTTTGACTGTATGTAGGACCTAAAACAACAGTTCCCATATACATAAATGTCATTATGAATACAAGAAATAGATAACATAGATCATAAAATCTGTCAAAAATACTATTTATTTTATTAATAAGTGGTTGGCCGATCATTTACTGTTAATATACATCCTACCGTTGTTGATATCACTCAGGGAGTGACTATCTTGAATATGTAGATCTAATATTGTACTATTGCTTTAATATCTTTTATAAATCACATTTGAGGAGAAAATTTCCTTTTCGTTTTATTTTTCAAATTTATCATTTATTCTCCAAAACTTTAATTCTTTCCTATTCAATGTCTGACATATTAATTAACACATTTCACAATATTTATGGTTTTAAAGCTCAGAGTGAGAAACGACGTACTTTTCCAAGAAACGTCCTGCATACGTCTTTAGGACGTCTTTACGATGCCTTTATATGATTCCATTAGAATGTCTCTTTGAATTATATTGTACGATAGATTTTCTCTTTCAATATCTTTTAAACAATTATAGGATATTCTACTAGAAAAATGATATAATATAAAAAGAATGGCTGCACTGCAGCAGTCTTTAACTCTATTTTAACAAAGATAGTATCTGTATTAAAGACAAATAATGGGCCAACTTTTTATAAATAAAACAAATAGATAGATAATTTTCAGATGTTTTCATTATTTTGTGACTTCTCTATATATACATATATATATATATATATAAAATATAATAAATATAATAATGAATTTATATATATACATATAAATAAATATAAACGGTGCATATCTTATCGCTTGTAATTACAGGAATTAATGAATGTATATTATCATTTACGAATTTGCGGAGCTTCGATAAATTAAAGAAACAGGAGACATGCCAGGAGAAAAAAGCGGACCGATGCACATTCACATAAATTTGTCGCGGGTGCGAAGAACACAGTAAAACGTAGCCTCACGAAATTTCAATATTAAATGCCCGTGTATCTCCGGCTGCGTTGACAAACTTACGAGCCGTAGCCTGTATTTATCGTGGCAATTGGACGGCCCGTGAGATAACGACGTGCTGAAGCCGCATCGAGCAAGTTATTTGAGCAAGCGAGTGAACAGGAAAAGTACATAAATTATTGATGAGGATATCCGCCGCGTCTCTCGACTCGCCCAACATTCCCGCGTCCGTCTTAATTAATTAATGCTGCTGACGAAAAGCAGAATAAGGAGAGCGGGCAAAGAGCGGATTAGCTTTTAGATCGCGGAGATCGGTCTCTCACGGCACAGACGAGAGGAGGCGACGAATGTACCGGGCAGAAAAATCTAGGACAGTGAAAATCGGCCTGTATCGCGCGCATCTATAGAACGAAACGGGAGCATCGATGTACAAATTGATCGCCAGTTAGGTCTGGAGGAGTAATAACTGTAGTTCCAATTGAGGACTCGAGCTCGCGATCGAAATTAAGATCGGATGCGAACGATACCGATCCGTTTCCAATTCCCAGAGAGGCACAAAGCCGCGCCCTTCGGCTCTTATCACATTAGACAGAGTCGGACATGTATTTGAAATACTTTTCTTTGAAAAACAATGTTTGACAAAAGTCAAGAGGGTGCTGTAAGACAACTGTATTTTATATTTTGTATTTTATAGGATTATATAAAAGTATTTTGTATCTTAAATACTAAGATTGACAAGCTTATTAATTGAATTACAAAATATAAAAAACTTTTAATCTTTCGAATTTCAAGAAATACATAATACTTTTATGTGCTCCACTGAAATATAAAATACAAAATATACTTGTATTGTAAATACTGTGTTCTGAATAAAAGTATTTTAAATACATGCCTCCTTTCCCCCCACACACAACCCTCACGTTAAATCAGATGCTGTGTATCTTTTTCTCTTCTTCAAACTTCACGGATTAATTTTCATTGTCGTAATTTTATAGCAAAAAAATTGCCGCAAGATGTGAATCCCAAAGGCGTGTTTGCCTGCAACGAGCTCGACTTAAAAGAAGTCCAGGTCTATGGATTCGATTACGATTACACCCTGGCGTGTTACAAGCCATCTATGGACTACTTGCTTTACAGCTTGGGGCGCGATATGCTTATTAAAAAATATAAGGTCTCTATTTTGTGATAAATTTTCGTATTAATTAAATCGATGTAATATATATAATGTTTATACATGCAATTTTTTTCGCTTCTTTGAATAAAATCTCGGATCAACTTTTTGCAATAATACAAAAAAATATTAAAATGTCTTTAATCAAATATGTTTAACATAATAATTAATAAAAGAAATGTATTATACATATTTCGTATGTATTGCAAACCTTTTATCATTTTTGAGAAAATTATTATTTAATTGTTAAAAACAGTTTGTGCTTTATTGAATGCTTCAGTTTCTACTTTAGTATAAGGTAAAAGATAATTAAATGTGTAAGAGTACGACTACGCAAAGCTCTTGTCTTTTCACCTTAAAGGATATTTCCTCAAAATCTGTCCGAAATCAAAAGACAATTACAGCTGATTAGAATTTCATCTTGAAGTTTGCTTAAACTAGCTTAATTATTCCAGTATCCAGAGGGAATTGCCAATCTAGAGTACAGAGAAAATTTCGCCGTTCGCGGCCTCCATTACGACATCGAGAAGGGTGTCTTGTTGAAGCTCGACAGTTTCTTGCAAATTCAATTGGGCGCCGTTTATCGTGGCTTGCATTCCGTGCCCAATGAAGAAGTTCTTCGAATCTACAAAAACAGAATAATACCGATAGCTTATGTGGAGGCACCTCATAAACACTCTTACGTAAGTTTATTAACGAGTAACGACGATAAAATAGAAGAATTAGTAAATTATGCTTAGCATTTGAGAGCTTAATGCGCATCACGCATGTTTCTTTTTTTTTTTAAATAAAACGAACAAGCATGATTTGCTTAAAGCCAATAAATTCCAGATATGAAATCTTTGAATATCGATGATACGATTTGTTGCATAACTGAACAGCTGTGCTTAATTGTTTTCAATAACATTTTCCTAAACATTAAAACATTTTTCGTTTCCTCTCTTTTTTTTTATACTGCAGCAAAAAGAAGCAGCGACATGTTTTACGATTCGTACGCTTTCATTTGTAAAAAAAAGATCTTAATATATTAAATGTCTCTCGTCTCTGTTTTTGCATGTATCAACATGTGTATTTTTGAACGATGAATTGCTTCGATCTCGATACAGAATAAGGCAAGTATATTTATATTCGCGATGTATATATATAAACATTTTTGAAAATATTCTAAACTTTGACATTTATTTGTTTAGGACGCTTTACATCGCTCGAAAATGGTTCAATTAGCCGACTTGTTTTCGGTACCGGAAATATGTCTATTGTGTAACGTCACGGAGTATTTTCTACAGAATCACATTGATTATCATCCGGAGATACTATTTAGAGATGTTAAGGTAAGTAATCAAAGTATAATCTCGCTAATTGCTGTTTTAATAACATTTTATATGATATTTATAGAACTCTGTACAAAGTTGTCACCCTGTAATGCATCAACTAGTAGTGGAAAATGTGTCTGAATATCTGGAACAGAATAAAGATTTACGGAGATTTTTCGATCGACTTCGAAATGCCGGCAAGAAGACGTTTCTGGTCACAAACAGTCCTTTTCATTTTGTGTACGTTTCTGAAGTATTGACAATTTTAATTTAAATGAAATTTATTATACGTAGGAATTATATTATACGATTGTTGACGTGACTTTTGCAGTAACAACGGAATGCAATTTCTGGTTGGCGAAAATTGGAAGAATTATTTTGACGTAGTAATCGTTCAAGCGAGAAAACCGAAATTTTTCACTGAAGAAACGCGTCCCTTGAGAATCTACGACGAAGTTAAACAGACGCAACTATGGGATAGAGTCACTAAACTCAACAAGGGTATCATATATCTTGAGGTAATAATATATATTGTTTATTTTATAATAATATTTTAAAAATAATATGTTTATAATTATAATATGCAAAATAATACTGTATTTATTAATCGCGGAACACATTTAGGGTACAGTTAAACAGTTGCAAGATATGACTGGATGGCGAGGACATCAAGTATTGTACTTTGGTGATCATCCATACAGCGACCTGGCGGACGTGACTTTAGAGCATGGCTGGCGAACAGGAGCAATAATAAAAGAATTGACGGTAATTAAACAAAATTTTGATTAATTTTTTTTTATATGAAACTAATATGTTTTTTAAAGAATATTGATACGCTGGAATAGATCGATATGACTATATAATATACAATACATAAAGATTAAATTGCATTACAGCACGAAATTGAAACCTTGAATGATCCGAAGTTCAAAGAAAACGCAAATTGGCTTCAAATGTTAACCGGTCTAATTGAGGAACATCAGGATTATGAAGGACCTGAAGTGCAAAATGAACTGGATGAATGGATGAGGGAACGAGATCAATTAAGAAACGAGATTAAATCTGTCTTCAACAAACAATTCGGCTCGGTGTTCAGAACATATCATAATCCGACTTATTTCTCTAGAAGACTGTTTAGATTCGCCGATATCTATATGAGCTCGATTACAAACCTGTTAGAATACTCCACAAGTCATACGTTTTATCCTAGGAGAGGTGTAATGCCTCATGAGTATACAAGTTATTTCGTGTAATATGTCTATGTTTTAGAAATACTTATTGTTTTTATGTAAATGCTTTTAGGATGTACAATCAAAATATTATTAGAGAATAGTCTATTTTCGATCAGAAAAGCCCAATATATTCGATGCCATAATATAAAGCCTTCATAACAGAGAATTACTAGTTCCACTCAAAATACTTCCGCCTTATTATTAGGTATGTATGCATAATTTACGTGTATATGCAATGTGAATCTATATCGATTACCATTAATGCGCTTTTACAGCCGCGTAGTTACAGGTAATCTGCATCGAAATGTAATGTATGTAAACGTGATAAAACGGACTGGTATAGAGATCACGAAGGCTGTTACATTATTATTATTACCATGACAATAGCTGTATTATGTAAAATGAAATGATACATCACGTTATAAAAAGTAAAATGCACAGAACAGGAAAAATCGAGTAATTATATATAAAGTATTATTAAGCTACGAAACTCATTGGATATTTTAAGATTTTATAATTAGAGTTTATTTTTCGTAAATAATATGAAGAAAAGAGATAATGTGCTTTTGTGTAATTAGAACGATATACTATAACTGTTGAAGAGTATACCAATTAAAATCATTGATACTCAATTATGTTTGCAAAGAGATTCTATATTTACCGTTAACGTATTATGAATTTAAAATTTAACTCGTAACATATATTTATGAATATGCTATATATCTACGTGAACAAGTACAAGTGCATCACACGTATACAATTCGATTTTTTAATCGAAATTTATATAAATCAAATTAAAACCCCCATATTATGGGAAGGTATACATGTACCCCAATTTATTTGACATTATTAGCTTTCTACAAATTCCTTATATAATAATCTTATTCCTTACAAGGAAGTATGCACTACAAATTGAACAAACATTTTGTGTGATTAAAATTTAAACAAGTTTTTGTAAAACAAAAGTTTTTTAATACTATATAAATATTTTTTATAGAATAATTTGATACAATTAGAGAGAGATCTTCAGCATATTCAAAAATATAGTTGTTAAGATAATTGTGTGTTCAAAAATATTTAAATATTTATATGAAAAATGCTAAAGTATATTTATTTAGTGCATGTAGACGAAATGTATTATTGTTGTTAAATATATCTTTATTTTCAATACAAATGATGAAATTCTATGTAAACATCATTAAAAAAATACCTTCACGTCTCTGTTACGAATATGTTTATTGATTTTTTATTTCTGAATTACCTGAAGACCCTGTACACTTTCAAATGTTCACGAACTTGACACATAAAAAAATTAAATATGACTTGGGAACAGATTAAACCAAAAATCTCAGTACCAATATTTTGTATACTTACGCTCTGCACATTTCTAGCAGATATTCTAATTGACGAAAAAAAATAAGGAATAAAAATTAACAATAAGGTTTGTACAAATAAGGTTAAATTTCTGACAACAATTATTTTTGATATTGTAAGATAATAAACTAAATTCCCCCCTAAATATCATGTTATAAATAATTCCTGAAACTTATCTTCACTCATTCGAAAATAATTTTTGAAATCCTTTGTACAGATTAACCGTATTTCTTTTAATATAAGTTAAGTGCATATATATATTGTTCCCGTTTCTTAATCCAATCTTTAATCCATCATTTACGTCTTTTTGTAAATAATGCTAATATTATAGCATTACATGCTCTATCTTTAATATTCATGTCGTAATAGATATCTCGTAATAAATAATGTAAGTCAAACTGAAGTGAAATAATGTCAATAATACTGATCATGTAAAGTTATAAAAATACTGATGCCTACTGATCAGTAATACTGAATCAGTATTATTGACCGTGTAGAGTCACCTAAACAGTAAATCCGATCGGGCAATCTCCGCGTGATATACTTAAATAAAATTCTATCAAAAAATCTGACACATTTAGATGATGTACACAAATTGTAGATCATCTAAATCTGAACTTGATACATATTTTTCAGTTATTAGATCTCATCGATCCTTTGCAAAAACATCTTTAGAACTTCTTAAACTGCCTGAGGATACACCGTCATCAAAAATATCAAAAGATATCGGGATGCAGAATCCGAAAATGCAAGTTCCGCCATTCACGCCGCTAGAAGCAGCCGCTATATCCTGCGTTCTCGAGGAGTGTTTACACCAGCTCGCCGTAATCGGATTCATGATACCAACCAACGTCAACCCACGCTGGGATGACTCGTTCAAAACAATCGACGAGACATATGGAGTACCTGATGAACCTAGAATTATCTTCAGAGAAGACATGGGTCTGTTACCGATTATACCCACAGAAGCTGAAAAATTACAGAGGGACAGGTGCGCAAAAATACCCTCACAATGTTTTATAATATTTATACAAAAATATAATCTACATTCTATTGCTCTGATATGATTAACAGATATATAAAATTTATTTTTAAAAGACCGTCACATAATCTTAGAAAGTTATGAAATAAACGTTATTTCAAGATGCTTTTATTGGGATTTTGTGTATGTTCAAATCTGTCATTGGCAAAAATATCATTTTGATACGTTATTGTCCCAATAATCCTACTTTAGAAATAAGAATCTTGCAAAAGAAAAACGCTCTTTGGACAATCACGCTAATTTGCATCACGCTTCTTCAATACATCTGCATTTAGGAACTATGTGTGTGAAGTCTTAAAAAAAGTCCTTCAGGAAATAAAAAACTATAGAACATTCGATAGTCTGCAAAAAGAGGTTGATAATATCGCGAAGAAACTTGAAGACGAACGTAATCTTGAAAAAAGCGCCCAGATGTGGCTCAGCCAAGCTGAACAATTTCGAGAACAACTAGAATCCGATAAAAAAGCGAACGAGGAAGACAGAAAAAAAACGATAAAACTCGCGCAGGAAAGCGACGTGCAAGTTGATCACGTGACATTCTTAAATAGTGGAAAATTGGGTAATGCATAATTTATATAAATACGTTTCATAGTGTTCTAATTGAGTATATTACATTCAGGCTTTGCGGAAAAATGGGCGAAAGCTAGATTGGAGCAGCAGGAACTCAAACTGAATCTGCAAAACAGAGATATGCTGAACAAACTAAGTGAATATTCAAAGGAGTATAATGCGGAGCAATCTATTTCGGCTGAAATACATACTTACTTAGAAGCAGACATTAAAGAGAAAGAAGAGCAGATAGAGATGTGGACGAAAAAATATAATGAGGAAATTGTGGAACGGCAGCAGGAAGTCGATGAATTAAAGGTATATTCGAAGATTAACGTAATAAGGAATAGTTGAATAAATGAGACTAAATAACATAATTTATACAGTGTGTGTATATATATATATATATATAGTGTATTATATATATTTAACTAAAGATAAACATATTAACAATAAAAATAACAAATTTAACATACAAAATATAAAAAAATTAAATTAATTATTTAGTATAATATAATGATACTGATTAAGCTTGAGTTTTAGAATAATGAATATCTTGATCTGCTGATAGAAACTAATAGAAGAACAAAAATTAGAAATAGAAGAAATGCGCACTTTAATAGACAAACGGCAGAAATTTATCGACGAATGCATCGCCGAGGAAAATAGATTAAAAGAAAACGAGAAGTTATATAAAGCCGCAACTGTTATTCAATCGACATGGAGAGGTCACATGGTAAGGCAACAATTAGGAAAATACAAAGGTCTGTGGAAACGATTGAAAAAGCGGAAGAAATTACGCCAAAAAAGAAAAGTCTGATGTGAATAGAGAAGAGATAAAAAATACATCTAAAAAAAAAACCCCTTTTTTCAGTGTCTGAATAAACGACAGAGTTTGACATTTTATTACTGAAAAGAGAGTTACCGCTTTCTTTATACACTAATAATGCCTTCGAAGTATCTGTATAAATTATTCAAATATATTTTTAAACAAATATCAGAAATACAGTATTTACATAAAGGTCTGACTCACACACATGCAAACATGACAAGCGCACAGCATTGTTCCACACATCATTTGAACATTACCGAGTACGAATTCCGTACGCGTAATAGTAGTATAATGATATAAATATACCGATTCAGTATCGTACTCGATAAAGGCATAACGTCTCTCGGACTTATTCTCGATCTAGTTGTCGCACATTTTCAAACTAAAAATGATAGCCGCTGAAGCAATCAGTGGCAGTGTGATGATCACTGTACATTCCCTACGTATTGCAACACATGGGGAATAATCACGTCTTTATCAGTAGTGTACAAGTTGGTATAATGCGATGATAAAATTATACGCGACAAACGTTTATATGTGAACCGAAATAGGATTATACTCATCGCCTCAGTCTGCATGTACTAGAGAGTACTGTATTTATAAGTTTTTGCAATAGACGAACTAGTGCGAGCGATTAAATCTATCTTCGCGTCTTATCAGATAACCGAGACAGTTTGCATTGCTCAGTATCGCAAGATGGCCACTGATCTGTTACCGACACATCGTCACAATTCGTGTATATAGAATCTCCCGAGTCCATTCAATGGGTTAAATACATACGATCTTCAACGACGAGGTAGCGAAATGAAATTCGGGCTAGAGCGAAGTAAAGATACCGTCGCGATCGAAGCAACGGATGCGCGCATACACGCGCGCGTTAGAATTTGAGAATGGTAATTTTTCTATCACGACGAGATGTGGCGTGCTTAATTGAAGTGGAATTTAAACTGGAAGGGAGAACCGTGGAAGTGATGGAACTCCTGGAAGGGATTGAAGCCCTGTTGATGCCGGCCCGATTCCGGATCCAAAGGATCCTCGCCCTGATCGAATTTCGCCCTCTTCTCGTCGTCCGTGAGAACCTCCTTAGCAGCGGCGATATCGATGAATTTCTTTTGCGCGCGTTTCTTCTCATCGCCCTCTTGGAAATTATCAGGGTGCCACTTTTGTGCTGCTTTTCGATAAGCCTTGATAATATCTCGCTTATTTGCCGTTCTTGGAACGCCCAGAATCTTATAGTAATCTCGCGACTCTGATAACTTTTGCCGTTGTTGCGCTTTTTGCAATCCCTGTTTGGCTCTTTGAAAATTCGAGTCTATTTCTAATGCTTCTTTAAAATCCCTGATGGCTGTTAAAGAGAAAAAATATGTGTTTATTACATTACAATTATAAAATGAGAAAGTTTTATAAATACTTTCGCACCGTAAAATATATTATTACATATAACATTAAAATATTAAAATTAAAAAGTTGGGAGTTGGCGCAATTCTGTAACAATATTTTAACAATTCATTCACGATTTACACAAAATTAAAAATCGTACATTGCATAAACTGCATATTTCGGTTCAAATATGAATAATCTTCAATGAGTAAAAAACAAAAATTGAAAAACTCAAATCTGTATCTTTCTCACGGATATTTTTGTACGGATTTGATTTTTTCTAATTTTAATTCACTTTTTATCCGAAGTTCAAATTTGAACTAAAATATCTGGTCTATGTAACGTTGTGAAACTTTAAATTTTGTGTAGTTCGTAAATAAATTATTCAAGTGTTTTTGTTATAGAATTGCACATTTCTTACCGCAACAATTCCCAGCGTTCCTTTTTAAATTTAATTATTATTATGAATTATCAGGAATCTAGATTATCTTTTGTATTAAATATATATATATAAAAGATTAAATTACCATCGTCGAACATTTCCGCGGCAAGATACGCTTCTGCACTGTCGCACAATACACCCGGTTCTCTTCTGATATTTAACGCCTCTTGGCAATTACTAATCGCCTGAGTTGCTTCAGAATTTTCTGTATAACATCTGCAGAGATAATGGTAAGCCGTGAATTGCACTTTTGGCTCGTTCGGCTCTTGCGTTAATACACGACGAGCTGAATCAATGCACGCGTCATAATCCTTATCCTCTAACGCTGTCTCTGCATCTTGTAACAATTTCTTTATCTTTCTAATCTTCTTGTAAAAGGGGAAACATTGCTTATGGTCTGGATCAAGCTTTAAACATTCTCGAATCTCTCTAAATATTTATAATAAATTAGTTGTGCGTCTTAATAAAAATATTGATTATTCTAATGATTAATTACTCACTTTAATGCCTCATCAACGTCTCCGAGACGATAGAGCAACGTCGAGAGCTTGAAGAAACCCTCTGTATTATCAGATAATAATTTTGTAGTTGAACGTATGTCGGATATGGCGCTCATAAAATCTCCAAGGGCAACATGACTTTCTGCCCTGCGTTCTCTAAGATATGAGGACCATGGACATATCTCGATGAGTCGAGTAATTTGCTGTACAGCTGCTACGTGATCGCCGTTATACACAAATATGTCGACTAATTTCATATCTTCTCTAGCTGGGTATAACCTATCTAAGGCATTCAAGGCATCCCTATTATTTGGTTCTAATGCTAGCTGGAATAAAAAAAGGCGTTCATAAGACGAATATATAAAAATATAATAAACATTTGCCAGCAAAAGACACAGTTGACAAATGTAATACAGAAATCATTACGTCCTATTTGTCAGTTTCAAACAAGGATAAAATGATTTGCTGTAGAGACTATATAAAAATTTAACTACGAGATGACAAATTTTTAGTTGGTTTGTCGTATTTATCAACTTTAATAAGTTACAATGAGATAGCATATATAAAGAAACACACACACATATATATA